ACTACAAGCCAACATCACTGATGAACACAGATGCAAAAATCCTCAACAAAATTCTAGTGAACAGAATCCAACAACATATTGAAAAGATCATACATCATGAATGAGTGAGCTTTATCCCAGGGATGCAAGGATTCTTCAATATTTGCAAATCAATCAACATGATATACCACATTAACAAACTGAAGGATAAAAACTGTATGATTATCTCAATACATGCAGTGAAAGCCTTTGACAAAATTCAACACCCATTTATTATAAAAACTCTCCAGAAAGCAGGACTAGAAGGGACATACCTCAACATAATAAAAGCCATATATGATAAACCCACAGCAAACGTTATCCTCAAGGGTGAAAAACTGAAAGCATTTCCCCTAAAGTCAGGAACAAGATAAGGGTGCCCACTCTCACCACTACTATATAACATAGTTTTGGAAGTTTTAGTCACAGCAATCAGAGAAGAAAAAGAAATAAAAGGAATTCAGATTGGAAAAGAAGAAGTAAAACTCTCATTGTTTGCATATGACATGATCCTCTACATAGAAAACCCTAAAGACACCACCAGAAAATTACTAGTATATAGTAATTTTATATATATAGTATATAGTAATAGTAATATAGTAACGAATATAGTAAAGTTGCAGGATATAAAATTAATATTCAGAAATCCCTTGCAATCCTATACACTAACAATGAGAAAACAGAAAGAGAAATTAAGGAAACAATCCCATTCACCATTGTGACAAAAAGAATAAAATACTTAGGAATAAATCTACCTAAAGAAACAAAATACCTATATATAGAAAACTAAAACACTGCTGAAAGAAATCAAAGATGACCCAAACAGATGGAGAAATATACCATGTTCATGGATTGGAAGAATCAATATACTGAAAACAAGTATACTACCCAGGGCAATCTATAGATTCAATGCAATCCCTATCAAGATACCAACAGTATTTTTCACAGAACTAGAACAAATAATTTCACAATTTGTATGGAAATACAAAAAAAAACCTCGAAAAGCCAAAACAACTTTGAGAAAGAAGAATGGAACTGGAGGAATCAACCTGCCTGACTTCAGACTATACTACAAAGCTATATGACAGTATGGTACTGGCACAAAGACAGAAATACAGAGCAGCAGAACAAGACAGAAAGCCCAGAGATAAATCCAGTAACCTATGGACACCTTATCTTTGACAAAGGAGGCAAAAATATACAATGGAGAAAAGACAACCTAACAGGTGGTGCTGGGAAAGCTGGTCAACCACCTGTAAAAGAATGAAACTAGAATACTTTTAACATCATACACAAAAATAAACTCAAAATGGATTAAAGATCTAAATGTAAGACCAGAAAATTCCTAGAGGAAAACATAGGCAAAACACTCTCCAACATAAACCACAGCAAGATTCTCTATGACCCACCTCCCAGAGTAATGCAAATAAAAGCAAAAACAAACAAATGGGACCTAATTAAACTTAAAAGCTTTTACACAACAAAGGAAACTATAAGCAATGTGAAAAGATAGCCTTCAGAGTGGGAGAAAATAATAGCAAATGAAGCAACAAAGGATTAATCTAAAAAATATACAAGCAACTCCTGCAGCTCAATTCCAGAAAAATAAATGACCCAATCAAAAAATGGGCCAAAGAACTAAACAGACATTTCTCCAAAGAAGACATACAGATGGCTAACAAACACATAAAAAGATGCTTAACATCACTCATGATCAGAGAAAGGCAAATCAAAACCATGATGAGGTACAATTTCATGCCGATCAGAATGGCTGCTATCAAAAAGTCCAGAAACAATAAATGCTGAAGAGGATGCAGAGAAAGGGGAACCCTCTTACTGTTGGTAGGAATGCAAACTAGTATAGCAACTATGGAGAACAGTGTGGAAATTCCCTTAAAAACTGAAAATAGAACGTCCATATGACCCAGGAATCCCACTGCTGGGCATACACACCAAGGAAACCAGAATTGAAAGAGACAAGTTCACTGCAACACTGTTTACAACAGCTATGACAAGGAAGCAACCTAGATGTCCACTGGCAGATGAATGGATAAGAAATTGTGGTACATATACACAATGGACTATTACTCATATATTGAAAAGAACGCATTTGAATCAGTTCTAATGAGGTGGATGAAACTGGAGCCTATTATACAGAGTGAAGTCAGTCATAAAGAAAAACACCAATACAGTATATTAACACATACATATGAAATTTAGAAAGATGGTAATGACAACCGTATATGCTAGACAGCAAAAGAGACACAGATATAAAGAACAGACTTTTGGACTCTGTGGGGGAAGGTGAGGGTGGGATAATTTGAGAGAATGGCATTGAAACATGTATATTACCATATGTGAAACAGATCACCAGTCCAAGTTTGATGCATGAAACAGGGTACTCAAAGCTGGTGCACTTGGACAGTCCAGAGGGATGGGATGGGGAAGGAGGTGGGAGGGCAGTTTGAGATGGGGGACACATGTACACCCATGGCTGATTCATGTCAATGTATGGCAAAAAACCACCACAATATTGTGAGGTAATTAGTCTCCAATTAAAATAAATTAATTAATCTAAAAAATACAATGTAAATATCTTAACAAATACTTAACTGCTTAAAAATGCTAATCATCATCTGAGCTTTCAGCAAGTCAGAGTGGTAACATCAAAGATCACTGATCACAGATCACCATAACAAATACAGTAAAAAAAGCTTGAAATATTGTAAGAATTACCAAAATGTGACAGAGATATTAAGTGAGCAAATGTTGCTGGAAAATGGTGCTGGTAGACATGTTCAGTGCAGGGTTGCCAACAAAACTTCAATTTGTAAAATACACAGTTATCTATGAAACATAATAAAGTACAATAAAATGAGGTATACCTATATCTTGAAAAGAATAAAAGATTACTTTTATTATTTTTAAATTTTTTTCTTCTTTTAATTTCTTTTTGATACATATGACTGTTACATCAAAAACTGATAACACTGTCTTCTGGAATTTACAATATATATAAGTGCAATACACTCAATGCATGCATACTCAAAGATTCGCTCAGTCATCTTTGACTCTTTGCAACCCCATGCATATGTGCATGCTCAGTTACTCAGTAGTGTCTGACTCTTCACAACCCCATGGACTGGAGCCTGTCAGGCTCCTCTACAGAATTTTCTGGGCAAGAACACTTAAATGGGTTGTCATTTCCTTTTCCTGGGAGTCTTCTTGACCCAGAGATGGAACCTGTCTCTTGTACCTCCTGCACTGGCAGAAGGATTCTTTACCACTGTGCCTCCTGGGAAGCCTACAATGACCTAAATTTGTACTTTAATAACATAAAAAAAAAGAAAATTAAAGTTTTATAATTTAAAAAGCAGAAAAATAGCGACTATAGCATAAATCAATGAAACAGAATATAGAATAAATCAGTAAGACCAAAAGCTGGCTCTTTGAGAATTATAATATCAATAAAACTCTAGCCAGATTGATCATGAAGAAAAAAATAAAATAAATTACCAACATCAGCAAAGAATGAGGTAACATGTGCTTAGTCACTCAGTTGTGCCCAACTCTTTGCGACCCCATGGATTGTAGCCTGCCAGGCTCCTTTGTCTATGGGGATTCTCCAGGCAAGAATACCTGAGTGGGTTGCCATGCCCTACTCCAGGGGATCTTCCCAACACAGGGATTGAATCCAGGTCTCCTGCATTGCAGGCAGATTCTTTACCATCTGAGCCACCTAACTAACTACACATAATTAAAAGTGGAGAGGATGTATTTTTGGCATAATAGCATGAAGAGTACCATGGAATGGTTCCCCAGAGAAACTGGAGAAAATTGACTTTAAAAAATCATTAAAATCTAAGAGTACACAGCAAAAGAAAAAAAAAACCAGTAAGAACAGTAAGAGTATGTGGGATTTTAATAACTAAGTTATTAAAAACTAAGACATCCCTCTTCCAGCTCAGAAAGACAGAAACTCCATTCTAGACCAAGGCAGTCAAGGAAACAGCACTCTCTCTCTAAGTCGGAGTGTTTCCATTCTAGGAAAAGCAGGACATCAGCATTTCTCAATCTTCCCCCAACTACAAGCGCTCAAGTTAAGGGTTAGATAAATGCACCCAAGATGTGAGAACTCCTTTCTTCAGAATGGCACCCGCTTGTAGGATGGAGGCTATTTCTTGGGTGCAGCACCACTGAGAATATAATGCTCTTTTCAACTGTAATTTTTAAATCCCTCAATTCCACTGAGATAGGACGACTGTTTCCTCCGCAAAGTGGAAGCAATTAGTGAGTAGGAGGTCATGTGATCATGAATGTCTCTGGAATATTTTCTTTATGAGCAAGGAAAAAAATCTGGTTTTAGTACTTCATGAGCTTTCAGGTTATTTGAAAACAGCAAGAATTTCCAGCTATTTTCACTGAATTAGTATTGAATAAAGCAAAAAGTTAATTTCTACTATTTCAGAAAAGAAACAGAAGTTGTATGGCCATACCAGTAAATGAAACTTCAGTGAATATTCCAATCTTTAAGCAGTATATTTATTAAAAATAGATAAATTTATTTTCTGATAACCAGTTAAGGACCATTGAAAAGAACCTATGAAAACTTAGCAAATTTGCTATTCCCCACGATGGCAATCTTTGAACTGAACAGAAGAGAAACCATGAAGAATGAGAGAGGCACAAACTTGTTGTTGTTGTTTTTTCCAGAATTTAATATTAAAAAATATATATATGAGTTATTAAAAAATCTTAAATGGTTCATTTTGGGGCCAAATGCTACCACTGAAACTTTTTTCTTGTAATTGATTTATGGTAAAAAGTAAAAGTTATATAAAAATTAGAGTAGTGACAGCTGTCCAACATAAAGCCTACCTGCAAAAAGGCAGGGCAGAATGAGCTGACTTGAGCAAATATCCACATCATGACCTTAGTAACAAGTTTCAAATGCTTTCAGTTGCCAAGGTTGAAAAGGAGGATCATCTTGCATGCTTAGATTCTACTTCTTCAAGAATCCACTGAATACCATTCAAAAAGCCAGTTAAAGTTTCAGCCTCTGTGTCCTGGACCTATGAGCAAATAAAAAGAGACCATCTGTTACTAAGAAACTAAGCACAAAATCTTATAATCATGTGGGGCATTTTTCTGGACACTCAAAAACAAATAGGACTTAAAAAACCCCAGTAAACTTTGGGTTAATAACCAAGTTTTGTCTTCTACAGAGTTTAGATTAAAAAAACCATCTTCTCTTCTGTCTTATAATTACTATCAATATGAGGTTTATTACTTATCTTGGAACTCAGCTTTGATATCAAGTATCTTCCTCTGATTAAACTACTAAAACTGACTTTCAGAATGCTATTCTTTTAAAAAGAATGAATGGGAAAGAATTAGAGTGAAAAATAAAATGAGATTTTTCTCACTAGAGAAAATAGAACCTTACCATCCATGGGTGGTTTAGATGATTCAGACGGAGCTCATGGGCCAAATAAAAACAGGGCATTCTTTTTACATTAGCTTGAGAAATACAAGATAAAACCAGCATTGGTCTCCCGGAAGATCCAAAAGCTGGATCAGTCATTGCCATGATACGAGAAAATTCATCTTGCCATTCATGTCCTAAGGAATATAGTTAAAATACTTAATTTTCTTACTTAAAAAATAATAAAACAAAATTGAAAACTATAAAAATTACCAGGATCCAAACATAGTAAACTGCATCTATCCCTCTATTGCTGCGTTCATTTACTGATCTTTCATAAAACTACATTAATCAGCATTGCAAGGATTGGAATTTAGATGAAATCAGAGAGAACAAAAACAGTACCACTTACATGTTTCTGTGGTTTAAAAGCAAAAGTACTCTGATAAAATTATTTTCTTATCACAAATTCTGTAGCCATCACTACCCTTTCTTTCAAAGACCAGAGTTTCTAAAATTTAAACATATGATTAAGTCTAGCTTTTCTATTGAAACTGAAAGTTTCTGCCTTTCAGGGGAGTGTCAGTCATTGACATTTGGTGGTGGGCAGAACTCTAAAATAATCCTAATAACTCAAATTCTTTTCTATTCCCGCCTCTGAGTGTGGAAGACTGTAAACACATGGGATATCACCAACATGGTTAGGCTATATTACAAGACACAGCTGACTTCAAGAAAGGGAGACTATAATCAGTGAGCCTAGTCTAGTCAGGTAAGCTCTTAAAACAGATGAGATTCTTCCTAGTCAGAGAGATACTCCATTGCTGGATTTGAAGACAGAGGGGTCACATAGCAAGAAATGAAGATGGCCTGTGAAGCTGAGAGCAGCCCCCAACTGACAGCCAGCAAGGAAAAAGGGACCTCAGATCTACAAAAGAAAGAAGCTGAATTCAGTCAATAATCTGAGTGAGCTAGATAATAGATTTTTCCCCAGAACCTCCAGAAAGGGATATAACCCATCTCTCACCCTAATGTCAGCCTGTGAGACACTTGGCTGAGAACCCAGCCATGCTGTACTCAGACTTCTGACATAAAGAACTCTGAGCTAATAAATAGATGCATTTTTAAGCCACCAGGTTGGCAGTAATTTGTTATATATTACAGAAAACAAACACTGAATGTAATTATCAACACACTACATTTAAATCTATCACATATTTACTGAATTTTGACTTGTCCCATCTATTCTTTGTTCCTTTTACCCTCTTTTCCTGTGCTCTTTTGAACTGACTTCTTAAATGATTACATTTTATCTTCACTACTGGCTTATTTAATTATATCTCTGTTACATCAAAAAAGCAAGAGAGTTCCAGAATTACATCCATTTCTGCTTTATTGACTATGCCAAAGCCTTTGACTATGTGGATCACAATAAACTGTGGAAAATTCTGAAAGAGATGGGAATACCAGACCACCTGACCTGCCTCTTGAGAAATCTGTATACAGGTCAGGAAGCAACAGCTAGAAGTGGACATGGAACAACAGACTGGTTCCAAATAGGAAAAGGAGTACGTCAAGGCTGTATATTGTCACCCTGTATATTTAACTTATATGCAGAGTACATCATGAGAAACGCTGGGCTGGAGGAAGCACAAGCTGGAATTCAAGATTGCCGGGAGAAATATCAATAACCTTAGATATGCAGATGACACCACCCTTATGGCAAAAAGTGAAGAAGAACTAAAGAGCCTCTTGAAAGTGAAAGAGAAGAGTGAAAACGTTGGCTTCAAGCTCAACATTCAGAAAACAAAGATCACGGCATCCGATCCCATCACTTCAAGGCAAATAGATGGGGAAACAGTGGAAATAGTGGCTGACTTTATTTTGGGGGGCTCCAAAATCACTGCAGATGGTGATTGCAGGCTGGAAATCAAAAGATGTTTACTCCTTGGAAGGAAAGTTATGACCAACCTAGACAGCATATTAGAAAGCAGAGACATTACTTTGACAACAAAGGTCCGTCTAGTCAAGGCTGTGGTTATTCCAGTGGTCATGTATGGATGTGAGAGTTGGACTATAAAGAAAGCTGAGTGCTGAAGAATTGATGCTTCTGAACTATGGTGCTGGAGAAGACTCTTGAGAGTCCCTTGGACTGCAAGGAGATCCAACCAGTCCATCCTAAAGGAGATCAGTCCTGGGTGTTCACTGGAAGGACTGATGTTGAACCTGAAACTCTAATATATTGGCCACCTGATGCAAAGAGCTGACTCATTTGAAAAGACCCTGATGCTGGAAAAGATTGAGGGCAGGAGGAGAAAGGGACAACAGAGGATGAGATAGTTGGATGGCATCACCGACTCGATGGATATGGGTTTGGGTGAACTCTGTGAGTTGGTTATGGACAGGGAGGCCTGGCGTGCTGCAGTTCATGGGGTGGCAAAGAGTCGGACACAACTGAGCAACTGAACTGAACTGAACACTTTTTTAGGGGTTAGTTGCTCAAAGATTTACAAAGTATATTTTAAACTTACAACAGCCTACCTTTAAAAAGCATTATATAACTTCACATATAGAACCTTATAATACAACATTTCCACTTCTGTCTTCCCATGCTGTGTAATATTGTTACAATATATTTTATTTTTAAAAATATGATGTTTTCCTTTAAATAATGATAAAGAAATTAAAATTAGAAAAAAATATTTTATGTATAGCTATACTGTTTCTAGCCCAAGGCTTTTTCTTTCTTTCTGTAAATGTAGTTTTCCACCTGGTATACTATACTCCCTGAAGTTTCCTTTAATACTTATTGTAATAAAAATTTGCTGACTGAGCTTTCTCAGATTTTGTTTGTCTAAAAAATGTCTTGATTTTGCCTTCATTTTGAAAGATATCTCTGCTGGATATTATCCCCCCCCCACCCCACCCTTTGCAATACTATAAAGATTTCCCTTCATTACTATCTAGCTTACAGCAAAATTCTATCAGAAAGTCTCTGTCTTTATCTTTGGTCCTCTATATGTATGTTTTGCTTTGCCCTGGCTGCCTTCAAGATATTCTCTTTATCTTTCGTTTTCACCAGTTTGGCTATGATGTATCTGAATTTTTTATTTATCATGTCTAGAGTTCTTTGAGAATCTTGGATCTGCGGTTTATTTCTTTCAGTAATTTTGAAATAGCTTTGGTCATTATTTGTTCAGAAATTTCTTTTTCCCTGTTCTTACTCCCTTCATATTTTGGGACTCCAATCACATACAAATTCAATCAGGGGTCCACATACCACACACTATAGATATAAGCAATTATTTTGGTAAAAACTGCCAAGCCCATTCATTCACAAACTGTCTATGGCTACTTTTGCACTATAGTATCAGAGCTGAGTAATTTTAAGAGATTATGGCTCACATGCCTAAAATATGTACTACCTAGGCCTTTAAGAAAATGTCAACCCCTGAGTTAGATCACTTCCATTGGTTTTCCCCAGCTCTTGCTCTGCCCTCCACTACCAATTTTTTCCTTTTTAAAAATTTTTATTTTTTAATTAATTTCTGGCTTTGATGGGTCTTCATTGCTATGTGGGTTTTCTCTAATTGTGGCAAGTAGGGGCTACTCTCTAATTGCAGTACACAGGCTTATCACTGCAGTGCCTTCTCTTGTTGCAGAGCACACTCTATAGTGCATGGGCTTCAATAACTGCAGCACATGGGCTCAGCAGTTGTGATTCCCAAGCTCTAGGACAAAGGCTCAGTTACTCCGCAGCATGTGGGATCTTCCTGGACCAGGGATCAAACCCATGTCTCCTGCATTGGCAGGTGGATTCTTGACCACTGAGCCACCAGGGAAACCCATCTCTCCATTTTAATTTGAGTAATTTCACTTGATCTATCTTCACATTCACAAAAGGTTTCCTTTGTTGATATGTCCATTGAAGGAACTATTCACCTGTTGTATTTTTGGTATTTAGCACACCCATTTTACTTTTTCATAGCTTCTTTCCCTCTGTTGAAAATCTCTATTTGTTCACATATACTGGTCACTTTTTTTTTACCAGATTCTTCAACATATTAATCATAGTTCTTTTTATGTCCTTTTCTGAGGATGCCAATATTGAGGCCATTTCTGGGTCTAGCTCCATTGACTGCTTTATCTCTTAAGAATGGGTCATTTCTTTTTTTTTTTGTATCTTATACTTTTTAATTTAATGCTAGATGTTTTATGTGGAAGAGCAGAAGAGACTGAGGTAAAAAGGATTTACTTCTACAAATGGGTATGCGTCTTCTCCTGTTAGGCCATTTATGCAGTGAGATGAGTCCAATTAGTCAGTAGTTGAGCTGCACTTGGCTTTTGTTGTTATAGTTAATTTCAGTGCACTATAAACTGTAAATTCTTTCAGCAGTGGACTGCTTCTACCTTTTTCCAAGTGAGAATAATATATTGTATATTTACGCCCTACCTTGTTCACAAAGGATTTGGGAAAGAAATAACAATATCGGCTTATGGCCCAATAGTATTCTATTTTCATGATATTTATCAATGTGAATGGCAATTATTCAGAATATATGGAGCGTGTTCTTAACTAATCTTTATTAACTTTATTAAACACTCCACCAACCTCTCTATTATCTGGATGATTAAAATAAGCTAAAATTTTTCATTTAACTGCATAAATTATTTTAATAAGGCCAAAAACAAACAAAATATAAATAAATAAAAGTACAGAAGCATGAAACAACAAAAAAATACTATGTAGTTATGGTAGCAAACTTCACTGTGCATCAGAATTCTGTAAAGTTTGTTTAAAAAAACAGAGCCAAGACACAACCCACATCTATGAGTCATAATCCATCAGGATAGGAATCAGGCTGCCATGTTTTTAACAAGATCCACAGGTGGTCCTAATGCACATCGAGGTTTGAGAATCCAATATTGATAGTAATAATATTAACAGAATCACACTGATAAAATTAGCCATGATATTCTTAACAAGCCACAATAAAGCCTATAAAAATACTTTCTTATTTACTTTGCAAAGAAAGTGCTTTTAAAAAGAAAATAAGATAATGCTTACTTTTATGAGCTTCAGCATTTGCAACATAGATGAACCCATCAACAACTTCACACACCTTCTGAATTTGTGGAATTACACTGTACCGGGTCCCTTGTTGATCATCCCCTTCATTTTGTATACTGAACATCTTGTTAACTGCACTCGTATGTTCTTCTCTTGCTCTATCTCTTTCCTTTCTATAAGAAATATAAAACATAAACAGACACAAAACAGGCTTCACCCCCCCTTAAATATTCTATTACTGATGTCTTGCATAGGCTGCTAAGTAGGTAGCCTTACCTTGTAGTTGAATATAGTATTAGGATGTTGAATTTATGTTGATTGCTCAACTGAAAACTAACTCCTGATCCAATACCTAAAGGAGAAAATTACAGTTATCAAAACAAAAGATAAAGATAGCAAACAATGACAATGAAAAAATTACTTAGTATAAAAAGAGCAAACAAAAAACAAGTTATATATAGCTTTGGAATAAAATATTTATGTTGAAGAAAAGATGCTATATGCAATTTTCATTCACAAAATAGTAAACTATGGATACAGAATAAAAAACTCTTAGGCTTTAACATTGCTTTTTTTTTTACCATCATCACTATCATCATTAACTTTATTATTATCCTATCAGTAGCAGCTTCATCATAACAACTACTTATCCTCAAGACTGACTTAGTTTCACTTTTTAATGTTTCTCATTAGTCTCATACTCCATGTATACATTCAACTAAATGGGTTTTTCCCCTGCACTCTGAAAAGGCATTTTAAAATTCATGGTGTCTTAGAAAATTGAAGAAATATGGCAAACACTGAAATTTGAAATTAGATTTGAGCTAGAATTTGTCACATATACCCATGCTTCTGTGAGCCTTGGTTTTGGTACTGAAATAAAGAAATAATACACATGAGGTTTTTTAGGGTTATTGTAAGCATTAAAGAAGATTACATACATAACTGGAAGGTAACAGGCGCTAAATATTACTTCTTACTATATTTTATATCTAAATCATTCAACACTATTATTTGTCCTTCTTTCTTAACTCCTTCCCTTCTTTGTGTTAACACTCAGGGGTTGATTCTCCTCTTGCCTCCCAGAAAGATCTTTCTCCTCCTCTTTGGCTTTGTGTCTTTTTGCTATATATTAATAAACATCCTTTTAGATCTGTCTACTCTCCATTCCCACCACACACCTTTAATTTAGATATCATCATCTCTCACCAGAACTTCTGTAATCATTTCTAACTATGCTCCTAAATCCACTTTTGTTCCCTACTATCCAGTCTTCTGACAGCAGCTGGAGAGATTGCTTTAAAATGTCTTTAATTATGTCTCTTCCCTTCAAAGCCGCTGCTCTTCAGATAAATAAAACTTTAATATAATATGGCCTCTACTTACCTCATTGTGCTGTGCTTAGTTGCTCAGTTGTGTCTGACTCTTTGCGACCCCATGGACTGTAGCCCACCAGGCTCCTCAGTCCATGGGGATTCTCCAGGCAAGAATACTGGAGTGGGTTGCCATGCCCTTCTCCAGGGTATCTTCCCAACCCAGGGATTGAACCCAGGTCTACTGCATTGCAGGTGACTCTTTGCCATCTGAGCCACCAGGGAAGCCCAAGGACAACTCCATCTTTCATATCCTTAATCCCTGCATTATAACCAATCTAGACATTTAAAGAAGCCATGCCATACTATCTTACATCACCATTTCAGGCAGCACATTATATAGAGATCTTAGCAGGGTCTGCAAGCATTTCAGGCAAAGTGGCCCTAGCCTTCCACCACCAGGGGACTTCCCAAAGATATCATAAAAATATTCTCCCATGTTGGGAAAGGTGGAAGTCAGGAGGAGAAGGGGACGACAGAGAACGAGATGGTTAGATGGTGTCACTGACTCAATGGATATGCATCTAGAGCAAGCTCCAGGAGATGGTGAAGGAAGCCTGGCATGCTGCAGTCCATGGGATCGCAAAGAATCGGATACAACTGAGTAACTGAACAACAACCATGTCTCTGATCTTTGTTTTCATCAGTTTAACTTCCAGAAACTACCTTCTCAACACATCTAATAAGTCCAATAAGATCTGCATGCTGTTTTGCCCAAGCTTGCCAATGACTCATCCCTTTACCATTCCCTGATGTTGCAGGATCTGAAGCACAGTTAGACTAGCAATTTCAAACAATCACAATCACTCTGGAGAATGAAATGGCAATTTCATAATCAGCCAATTTCCCCAAATCCCCAACCTCTTATTGAAATGGGTTCTTTCCACCTCATGACCTGACCTAAAACTGGCCTGTGCCTAGGTGCTGCTTCTCTTGCAGTGGGCTTCCAGTAACTAAACTGCTTATTCTCTCACATCTCAGGGTACAGAGATGAGTGTTCTCCTGCTCCTCAATGCCATGTCTTAAACCATTACTCACCAACTCTCTTGAAAAAACTCCACCTCTTTGAGACACACACACCATTTAGCTCTAATACCATCTCCCCGTGCTTAACTAGGTCACTTATGAATCTACTTTTGATAATCCCTTTCTCCTAACATTCACTGAAGATTATAACACCTGGCTCACAATCTTCTTATTTATCCTCTGAAACTTCCAAGTCCATATGGACTTCATATGATTCCCAAATCTTCATTTCTAAGCCCAGATCTTTCTTTTGAGACATGAATGCATGAAGTATTCCATAAAATCATTCATTTATTCATCAAATACCTATTGAATGTCTACTATGTGCCTGGCACTACAGATACAACTAAGAATAAAGCTGACAAGAGAGATGTCCCTGGTGGTCCAGTGGTTGAGAATCCAACTGCCCATGCAAGGGATACTGTCCGGAATGATCTCACATGTCGCAGAGCAACTAAGTCTGTGCACCACAACTACTGAGCTTGAATGCTGCAACTACTGACGCCTGCATGCCTAAAGTCCATGCTCTGCAACAAGAGAAGTCACCAAAATGAGAAACCTGAGCACTGCGATGAAGAGCAGCCCCAGCTCGCTGCACCTAGAAAAAGCCCACATGCAGCAGCAAAGACCCAGGGCAGCCAAAAACAGTTTAAAAAACAAAAACAAAAAAACCTCTTAAAAAAAAAAAAAAGGCTGAGATTTCTGGTTTAATGGAACTCACATTCAAATGGTTAGCTTATAGGAGGCATCTCTGCTTGTATAAAATGTTTCTCTTCCTACTCCTGTGTTTCCTTAACCTAGAGAATGACACCATCATCCGATATGAAAATAAGACCCAGAAACCAGGAATTATCCTTATTACTGCTGATACACATGGAGTCACTTCCATATCCTTCATATTTTATCACAATATTATAGTGGTTTCTTAATGGGTATTCATGCCTTTGGAGCCCCTTCTAATCAATTCTCCACTCAGGAGCAGAGTGATCTATCTAAAATGCCATCTTGATCATCTTACTTTTCTGCTTCAAGTCCTTCAATATAATGCTTAAGTCTGACATATAAGCATCTTCTCACCTGGTCCCACTCTAGACACACAGAGCTACTTCAAGTGTGTCATGCACACCCAGAACTTTGAGAATTTAGAGATGTAGTTCTCACTGCTTAGAATATTTTACCCTGTCTTTTTTTGATGGCTTACCCCTGCTTATCAAAATAACTCATATAAGGCATCATGTTCAATGCAGAGCCTTCTATGACCCTTACCTTTCTACCTAGAAGCTCATTACACCATATTCTAATCACCTGTACACATGTCTCTGCCCTCACCTAGACTAATCACCTTTCAGGGCAAAGAGGAGGTTTTTGATGTTGTTTGTTTTAAATCACTGCATCTTTAGTATCTAATAGGTACCCTCAACAAATTAAAAAGTAAAGCAGAAGCTAGACCACTATTACACATGTTTATTATAAATCCTACTTACCAAATTAACTACATGGTTGTTGTTCCTATTGTTTTTCATAGAAATAAAGGTAAGGTGACAATTTAGCTCTTTTTTGAAATTCCAAGACACATCAAAGTACTTTGAATATAGTAGATGCTGAATGGTTTTTACTGTAACATTCTTTTAAAATACGGTACAACATTTTGACAACATACAATTTGCTTTCACATAATCTCATATTCTGGACTGAGGAAGTAAGAGAAAGCTTACCTCTTATAAAAAAGTAAATTAATTCTTTCAGTCGATAGAGACGTGAGGGCTCCCATCCATCAAATTAGTACATTTCATTACATCAAAGAGTTAAATAATTTAAAAAACTAATTTTTTTCTATGTAATACTAGAGTCAAGCTCAAAGTGTTTGAATTATTATGAATTGTACATTAACATGAAAATTACCATCAATCTGCCTCTGAGGCAAACCAGCTGTTGGGCAAAGTTCCTCAGAAGACATCAAACTCAACACCAAAGATGTATTTAATTCTTCCAAACCTGGTCCAAACATGGCAAATCGTGGTTCATTCTGAATGATCAATGAGTGTAAAAACGAGGTGACAGCTCCATACACAGGACGGCTAGATTTTGAGGATCTTCTTGTATGTGGACAGCACATTTTATAGCTGTATAAAATTGTCACAATTAGAAAATTAACACAAATACTTACTTAGCCATTTAATCATTCAGCAATATATAATGCATTGAAAACTTGCTAGACAAAAGGGATACAATGGTTACCATCCTAATCCTCATAGAGGGCAGTGGAGGACAGATACTATTATATCAATAATACATATGTCAAGTGCTGTGATAGAAAAAGCACAAGGTGCTATGGAAGTAGTCATGGTCAAGTAACTGAGGAAGTCTTCCCCAGGAAGCAATTACTTTCTCATTTTTCATTTAGATTCTCTCATGAAACACTTGGTCTAACATGTGTTTTAATGGTTAAAATTCACTACATAGAGCAGTGATTCTCAACCTGGGGAGATTTTGCACCCCCTGGGAACATCTGCTAATGTCTGGAGACATTTTTGTCATCACAACTACAGGGGGAGTGGGGCAGTGCTACTGACACCTATGACATCTAGCAGATCCTAGGATGCTATTAAACATACTACAATGCACACACAAGACAGTTCCCACAACACCTGGTCCAAAATGTCAGTAGTGCCAAGACAGAAACCCTGCCCTAAACTACGTAAATAGTTAGCATAAAAATGTCCTTAGAGGTAAGAAAGAAAAAAATTACTAAAGCTATCAATATAACTGAATTTCTTAGGGTACTTCCATTAACACTAATAGTTCAATAAGTACTTATTACAGGTAACCTAGCAAACTAAGAATCATGTGAAAGAAACAACTTTTTCAATAGCCATAAATTTCTAAACTAGTGATTCAACATGTTATCAAAAATTAAAACAAAGTTGCTCAAATCTAAATAAAACCTAAAGCCCTTTAAATCAAGCTGGTAAAGATAATCATTAACTTTATAAGAAAATCATCTTTACTTAGGAATCTTGTAATTTAAGAAGGAAAAAAAAAAGTCAGCGTTGCAGCTGGGTAGATTTGGCCAAGCCTCACCACTTTAATTGGTCATATAAGTCACTTATGGTCTGAACTTCAGTTTTTTTAATTTGCATTATTTGAGTAATAACAATCAACCCAAGATCACAAGAATCAGAAATAATTCATATGCTCACAAATAGTCATGTTGTTTGCCACTAAATCGTTTCTCTCCAACCCCGTGGACTGCAGCACGCCAGGCTCCCCTGTCCTTCAGTATCTCCTGGAGTTTGCTCAGATTCATATCCATTGAGTCAGATCACAAATGTTTGTTACTATGATTATTACTATCCCTATGAAAACATGTTTTCACAGCACCACAGATACACCTGATGTCTTGGCTGGCTGTGAGACAATGGAGAAGTAACCAGCAAGTGAGACTACAGTGCTATGCTGTTTAGTCACTAAGTCGTATCTGACTTTTGAGTACCCGTGGCTTCTGTCAATGGGATTTTCCAGGCAAGAATACTGGAGTGGGTTGCCATTTTCTCCTCCAGGGCATCTTCCTGACCCAGGGATTGAACCCGCATCTCCTGCACTGCAGAAGGATTCTTTACCACTGAGCCATCACTTGTTAAAACTATACACATGCACATTTTAGTCAACGAGTCTCACAAGACTTGATGTAATGGCATCTGTATTGGAATAAGGATTCCAAATAACTTAAAATATGGGGGGGGGGGGAAACAACCCACACATAGCTAGTACGTCTAGCACAGGAAAACAATCCTTACCCTAAGCACAAATACTCTTCTGTTTTTTTTAGGTGCTGTCTTCTGTCACAGACTTTTTTTTTTTTGGCTCTACAGTAGGTTCTGAAGACATTTGTTTAACCTAACTGCCAATTCTTACAAAAGGACCCTTAGACTCAAAATTCATGCTACAAATTTGTAGGAGGACCAAGACTAACTTAGGCTACTGACTTGGTATAATCAAATTAGTATCTTCTTTTTAATTCATAAAACTAGATACTTACACTGCCATGTAGTCAAAAAATGCACCATCGGTGACCTCAGATATAGGCTTTTTTAAGATTTCTAGATCTGGAAGAGATTTCCAGTCAACAGAAGACCAAGAAGGAAGATCCCGCAACAGACAATATCTCCACAGAATTGGATCTCGGACAGTTTCATTCCAATAATGACTTGTACTTCCCAACTGACATAGATCATGAGGTGAAAGAAATGACAAAATATATAGCTGTACATCAATCTGAAACAGAGGGAAGCAGCAGGTAGGTAAACGGGATGAATAATTTACCTTGGCAGATAGGTTTTTTTGAAAAATAAATCACAAATTAACAATTATACTGGGAAACTAAAGGTCAACTGAACAATCTATTGTTTTAATAATTAAATCTATCATGATAAATTACAAAATTAACAATTTTATACTAGATAGCAAAAGATCAACTTAACAGTCATTACCTTTAATAATGAAATTTACCATGCTGAAGTTAACTTCCTGCCTCAGGGTAGAATCATAATGAACACTTCATTTAGACACACTGACACATTCCTGAAAAACCACCCACTGTTCTGGTATTTTTCAAGCAAAATAATCAGTTTATTTAATTTCTCATGAATATTCTACCACACTATTTGCATTAAATTACTTAATGAAATAATTTATTCAAAATAAAATTTTTATCAAGTGAGCAAACTTTTGATTTTATCATTAGATCAAATCAGAGTGTATCTGTCACCTGTGTTCTGTAAAAATCTGTCATCTCTGAAAGGAGAACCATGGAGGAAATTCAAGCCTGCAGTTTTCAATTTCTGATGTACCTCAGAGGGAAGTGACAACAGTCCAGCTAAGATACAGAATTTTAATTTCTAAGATATTTTCCTCTCGCCGTTTTCCCATCTTCCTAAAAAGTTTAACAAGGAATGAGGTGTGTAATTCTCAAGGCCTGCTGTAACTTGAGGCCCTTGTAACTTAGTTACTTAATTTCACTTGTCGGTTTTGGTACTTGAAATACATGGTAAGATAACAGCCGCAAAACCCTCAGAGTGTTTTGATACGTGAAGCCTAGGATGAAAGATGCTGAGAACACAGTCGCTGAACGCTGTCCATGCTTTTCCAGCATGTCTGGAATGGTTTCAGCATTTCCTCAACCAGACGTTCAGGGTGTCCCAGTACCCAAACTCGTCTGGGGGGAGAAAACCTGAGGGTGACCTGGCAGATTACCAGGGCGCTCCTTGCAGGTGAGTTTCGCAGCAACCTTCGGTCCGGCTGCCAGGCACCAAGCGTCAACGCTAAGGCGTCTTTTCAACTGCTGCCCCTCAAGTGACGACAATGCCCGTAAAGCTGCATGGACCGACTCAGACATAGGCTGGGCCCAGCGGGCTACCCCTTCCCGGGGCCCCCAAGAGGCCACCCCAGCGAGCGCCCCTCCCTCGGTTCCTCGCGGGCGGCCACCGACGCTCACCGGCAGCCGCGTCAGAGAACTGGCCTCCTCGTCCGTCTCCTCCGCGGAGGCCCTCGGAGCCGCCCTCTCCTTGCCAACCGACTGCCAAAAGTTCCTCCAGCCGCTGAGGAAGGCCGCCTCCAGGCGGCCCCAGTCGCTGTGAGGAGGCTGAGGAGAGCTCCCTCGGCTGCCAGGCTCGCTTCCCGCCATGGCTGCCTACGCCTCTCCGGACGCGCCGCAGGGTGACGCGGCGCAACCGCGCCCCGCCTCCTCCCCCTTCCCTCCCCCACCCCCGCACCTGCTCCGCTCCCTGCGTTCCCCCCAACCCCCTGCCCTCCTGCCCCGGTCCCACCACAGATGAAGAAGCCTCCAGAGCCGGGGGGAGAATGGAGAGATGGCCCAACTGAGCTTGGTTCGCAGCTGAGCTTGAAGCTCCCGCCAGAAATCACTGCTCCTCTCACTTAAGGCCTCAACCTCAGCCGCGCTGACCTCACACATTGATATAAGATCTCTCGCCCTTAGCCCCTCTGTAACTGTATTACTTCACCCAAGGCCGTCCCTCTGTGTGGAACTCATTTCCTCTTTGCCTGGGTCTGCGCAGACTCTTACTTATGCAATAAATGGCCCTCTTCCACTATTTGGGGCGTAATGCCTGATGCCGGGAAAGGCTGAAGGCAGGAGAAGACAGAGGATGAGATGGTTGGATGGCATCACCAACTAATGGACATGAGTCTGACCAAGCTCCTGGAGTTGGTGATGGACAGGGAAGCCTGGTGTACGGTAGTCCATTGGGTCACAAAGAGTCGGACAGGGCTGAGCCACTGAACTGAAACTGAAACCTGGTTTAACTCACTGTCAACCTGCAGTTTCCAGGACATGCAGCTACCCATTCTCCTCGTGAAAATAATCAACTATGGAAATTTATAAATTTCAGAATCAGCCTCTGCCCACCATTGTCTTATCTCAATTGTTAAAACATTCTCTCATGTATTACTCAAATCACCCATTTAAAAAACTCCTTTTGTTGTTGTTGCAACCTTTTTAAAGTAGATTTATAAGGTGTTAATTCCTGGTGTGCAGCAAAGTGATTCAGTTATATGTATGTATATATATATATACACTTTATATGCATATATATACTTTTTAATATTCTTTTCTGCTACAGTTTAACACAGGCTATTGAACATTGTTCCCTGTGCTATTCAGTAAGATCTTGTTGTTTATCCATTCTATATATAATAGTTTGCTTCTGCTAACCCAGAACTCTCCCTTCATCCCTCCCCCACCCCACTTCCCTTTGGCACCCATAAGTCTGTGGTCTATCTCCATGAGTCTGTTTTGAAGATATGTTCATTTGTGTCATGTTTTAGTTTCCACACAAAAGCGATAAGGTATTTGTCTTTCTCTGACTTCACTATGTTTACTCTATGTCCAGTAATGTTGCTGCAAATGGCACTATTTTCTTCTTTTTTATGATTCAGTAATATTCCATTGTTTGTGTATATACCACATCTTTCTCAATTCATCTGTCCATGGACATTCAGTTGTTCCAGGTCATGGCTGGTGTGAATACTGCTGCTATGAACATGGGGTACATGTATTTTTTGAATTATAGTTTTGTCCAGATATGTGCCCAAGAGTGGGAAATTAATCCCATTTTTTTTTTAATAGCCTTCAAAATAGAACAGAGGATCAGCAACTTCACAAAACCATTTAAGCCTGTAAGGATCATGATAGGCTAGAGAAAACATATAGATAAGTTGTATTTATACAAATAGTTAAATATATAATATGTTTAACATAATATTCACCTCTATCTGTATCTATATCCATATTTATATTCTACATAGCAGAGCATGACAAGGCTTAATAATGGACACAGTGCTTACGAGCCTGTATTTACACTTCAAAAGTAAATTATCTGGGGATCTAAATGTCAAATAACAGAAATCCAATAAAGCCCCAGAGGTTCTGTGAGATCTGAATATTAAGTTTCATCATATATCTTGCATGACATTGCTAGGAGCCAATACCAATCCAATTTCAGGCTTAGTTCTGCCAGGCAGTCCAGACGAGAAAAATAACCATACATTAATTGCCATTTCTCTTACCTCTCTAGAATAACAAAAATAAATCTGTTTAAGTATGAAGTACTGAAATCGTTCTCAACTCTTAGAAAATGAATTCCCAAGTAAGTCTCAAAGTAAGTCATTCTTGTTTTCTGATGTCAAACTGATTAATGGTTTCAAAAGCCTGATCCATTCGTAACTGAATGCTCCATAAACTTCTCACTTCAAAGGATTTAGCAGTTATCAATGAATTGTTGTTTACAGTTGAAAAATGTTGCTATTCAAATTTTGTAATTCCTTTTATTATATAATTAAAGAAAAATTATCCCTCATCAACCACTTGAATACCCTCCCCAAGATCGGAATCAGCTTTATCTCCAAGGAGCCCTACTTCACTTTATTGGGAAATGGTATTTGGACATTATTTAGTGGTCTTCATATAAATAGGGTTGTTATTTCCTATTCAAATTTACAACTACAAAATTTTTACTTTAATTTCACGTCTCTTCTCTTACACTGAAAATTCTCATTTCTAATTGCATACATTTCAATTTTCATTCTTAGTAACAACATAGGTACCAAGGAGGTTGATTTCTTTCCAGTTCTATTTGCCCTTGGGGATATCACACTAAGGGTGTCCAAATTACTGTGTTTTAAAGGTAACTGATTCCAAATCAGGAAAGGAATATTGTCACCCTGCTTATTTAACTTATATGCAGAGTACATAATGCGAAATGCTGGACTGGAAGAAGCACAAGCTGGAATCAAGATTGCTGGGAGAAATATCAATAACCTTAGACATGCAGATGACACCACCCTTATGGCAGAAAGCAAACAATTAAGAGCCTCTTGATGAAAGTGAAAGAGTAAAGAAGTTGGCTTAAAACTCAACATTCAGAAAACTAAGATCATTGCATTCGGTCCCATCACTTCATGGCAAATAGATGGGGAAGCAATGAAAACAGTGACAGACTTTATTTTGGGGGGCTCCAAAATCACTGCAGATGGTGACTGCAACCAGTGAAATTAAAAGATCCTTACTCCTTGAAGGAAAAGCTATGACCAACCTAGATAGCATATTAAAAAGCAGAGACATTACCAACAAAGTTCCATCCATCTAGTAAAAGCTGCGGTTTTTCCAATAGTCATGTATGGATGTGAGTTGGCCGATAAAGAAAGCTGAGCATATAGAATTGATGGTTTTGAACTGTGGTGTTGGAAAATACTCTTGAAAGTCCCTTGGACTGCAAGGAGATCAAACCAGTCAATCCTAAAGGAAATCAGTCCTGAATATTCATTGGAAGGACTGATGCTGAAGCTGAAACTCTAATACTTTCGTCATCTGATGTGAAGAACTGACTCATTGGAAAAGACCCTGATGCTGGGAAAGATTGAAGGTGGGAGGGGAAGGGGACGACGGAGGATGAGATGGTTGGATGGCATCACCGACGTGATGGACATGAATTTGAGTAGGCTCTGGGAGTTGGTGACGGATAGGGAGGCCTGGCCTGCTGCAGTCCATGGGGTTGACTAAACTGAGTGACTAAACTGAAAGGTAACTGAAACATTCCTATGTATTGAAGCCACCAACTTGCTACACAATTACAGTTAATTTGCTTCATTTTGTTTTGGATTTTTAGGAGTTTTCTTTAATTTTTGATGTTATCGTATTTTTTAAAAACTGCAAAAATGTAGTACATGATTCCTAAGCCAATGGACAAAATTCACTATATTCAGAGAAGTCCAGTTTACATCCTGATCCCCTACATCTGATTCTGCTCCCCCATCTCCTCCTTTCACCATTGATAACCATTTGTTTTTTTTTTTTAATATAAGCAAACAAGGTTATACAAACACATTTATACTCTTAAATAGTACTGTATACCTTTTCCACCTTTTCACTTAGTAATACCACTCCATAGCATTTTAAAGAAATATTCCTCTTTGCTTTTTAAAGCTACATGCTACTCAGTCATGTGCATTTACCACAGTTTAATCTATTTTTAAACAGGGTATGCATAATATTTAGATGACTAATATTTATTAAATGCATCTGACTTGAGTTAAATGTGAGACCAAAAGTGAGTGTGAAACCAGAAGCCCAGTAATTGAAGCTGAATGTTAACCGTGGAAGTTGGTATACTGTAACAGGTATATATACATTTGGAGACTGGAGCTGAAAAACTTCTGAAAATTTAAGTTTTCTTCCAGCCATACTTATTGTAAGCATTTAAGGTGCCTATACAGTCAGTGATTTCCTCTCTGAAAACTGCTTCCCACTTAGAATGCCAGCACCACTTGAAGTAAGCAAATGTGAGTGAGTGCTCACTAGCCAGAACAAGAACCAGCCATTTGGGAATTCCCAGGCATCCCAGTGGTTAGGATTCCGTGCTCACTGCTGAGAGCCTAGTTTCAATCCCTGGTTGGGGACCTAATATTCCAAAAGTGACAAGGTCAAAAAAAGGGGCAGTTAATTATCCCAGTTGATGAGTAAGGCAGATAATCACTTCAGTTGCTCAGTCATGTCTGACTCTACAACCCCATGGACTATATATAGCACACCAGGCTTCCCTTTCCAGAACCAAACCCAGGAGTTTGCTCAAACTCATGTCCATCAAGTCCACGATGCCATCCAACCACATCTCATCCACTATTGCCCCCTTCTCCTCCTGCCCTCAATCTTTTCCAGCATCACGGTCTTCTCAAATGAGTCAGTTCTTCGCATCAGGTGGCCAAAGTATTGGAGTTTCAGCTTCAGCATCAGTCCTTCCAATGAATATTCAGGACTGATTTCCTAAATTTAGGATTGACTGGTTGGATCTCCTTGCAGTCCAAGGGACTTCTCAAGATTCTTCTCCAACACCACAGTTCAAAAGCATCAATTCTTCGGTGCTCAGCTTTCTTTACAGTCCAACTCTCACATCCATACATGACTACTGGAAAAACCGTAGCTTTGACTAGACAGACCTTTGTTGGCAAAGTACTGTCTCTGCTTTTTAATATGCTGTCTAGGTTGGTCATAACTTTTCTTCCAAGGAGCAAACGTCTTTTAATTTCATGGCTGCAGTCACCATCTGCAGTGATTTAGGAGCCCCCAAAAATAAAGTCTCTCACTATTTCCATTGTTTCCCCATCTATTTG